ACAAATTTTCTGATTTGATTTATTATTGATTTATATTATTGCTAAGAATATATTATGGTATTTTATAATGTTAACTTATAGTGTCTAATATTGGTATGGCTTAGAATTATTTGTTATCAGAAATCAAGTGCATGCATAATTCCGGTACTGTATCCAATGTCTGACATTGACTCATTATTGCAGCACAAATGTACGCCATGTTTAATATTCATCTTGCAAACACTTAGGTGTTGTTTTACAGACAGTATACTCTTCAGTTTGTATTTTAAACGTTATTTATTCAAAAGTGCCTTTACATGGATTATTGACTGCATATGTTTATTCACCTTGGTTATTATTGTACACCTGTATTTCATATTTTCACTTTGTATCATATTAAAAATCACATTTGCTGAAATAAAATGTATATCTAGTAGTAAAAGACTGGTGTTTGGAGTTTGTTACATACTAGGACTGTATTTCCTACATACAGGTATAATTCAGATCTACGGTATATTTAGTTCCTGTCTAGATGCGATCCAAAAATGGGTAATTGCAGATTGACCTCTGACCGTGCATCCACTGTATCTTCAACATGCCCAGACTGATCATATTCAAATTTCATACATATGCACATCCATTTGTTACAATTAGGATCCATTTTAAGATGGCCAAATGGTGGCCTTATTTGTGATGAGAAATCAGCATTTCTGCCATTCTGCAACTGGATTGGTAGATGCATTGGATGCATGTGCAAATCGGATTTAAATTGCTGCTAAGGTATTTTTTTTAATGAATGCTTTTCCAGGGCCATATCTCTGACATGCCTTGTTCAAACATTATATATCCATCATACAACATATGTTTAAGTATTTGTTTGATGATCAGATTGAAAATGGCTGAATAGAAACCATTTTAATGTTGAAATGCATCAAAATTAATCTTTAGAGTCTATGTGAAGCTACTTGTGCCTGATTGGCTACCCAAGCCTAACAATCGTACCAGCTACAGAGCTGCTTCTTTGTAGTTGTATAACTTGGTTATACTTTGAAGACAATGGGATAACGATATTTTTCAGATCAAATTCATAATGTTTGAATGAGAATCTTGCCTTGACTGATTGCAATCATTACATCTGCACTATACATTATACATCCTTTTCAAGCCCACAGTTCCATCTTTTCATCACAAAATACTACTGTATAATCTGTATTAGAAACCGACGCTTCTATTAAAATGCTACAATGCAATAGAGGGGATGTGGTTTCTATTAGAGCATTTACACATTTGAGAAATGATGAATTTTTGGTTCTCAATTATTCCAAAAGAATGGGTGCGACTTCTATTAGGAATGTGGCTTCTGATACAGATTTTACGGTAGTAGTCCATGTTTATAGTCTGTACTTTCCTTCAGAAGATTGGGACACAAATAGCCAAATTTTTTGAGTAAAAACTGAGAATTTACTCAAATTATGTCTGTTGCCTCCAAAATTAGGTTTTATTTCCAGAAATATTGAAGAATATAAGAAAAAAAGTGGAGAAAAATTTGGGCGAGAAATTTTTGTGGTTAAAAGGTTAACATTTGTTTCAAGTTCTGATTCAAAATGGCGTATTTCAGTTCTGTATACTATCAAAACAACAGGGACTCTGCCCCATGATATATGAATTGTCTCTATTATTTCATCTAGAAAATGATTTTCATCTACGAATTCAGGTAATAAAGAAAATTGACAAAAAATGGGTATGGTCTCAGTACCAACAGTGGTCCATCCATTGATCACACTGGCGAGAGATACCCCACCTACTTGACACACATATGTTTCTATATTACTGGATTAATATTAAATTATTATGAAGGATTTATGCTACAATAGTGGATGTCATATAAAAGCATGGTAGAAAATTTCATTTCATACAGGCCTGAAGTCAGCATATTTATTTCTTGACTTTCAAAATCTATGGGACAATATATCCTATTTTTTGGACATTTCAGGTTTACCAAACATTTCAGGTGTCTTCAAACACACTGTCAATTATAGTATAGCTGTCATTTACATGACAAATACAAACTGTCAGTAGCGGAGACACAAGGACACAAAACTCGCAGTGTTCTGGTTTATTGGTGTCACCAGAGAGCATCTACTGAATCAATTGAATGCATTCCTGATAGGTAACACCATGCAAGTCATTGGCACCATCATAAAAAACGTCTACATGGACGTAATGTTACGCTCCACTGAATGACCCATTTTTCTGTTCTCTCGTACTGTCAAAAAGATGTGCCTGTATATGATGATCTTGGAGTCTGTTTCAATTTCAAGGTTATTTGATAGGTTCACACATAGTTTTAGTCAATAAATCATGTACATTTGAACACCATTATTCATCAAAAATAATTTTAGCTCCACTTGTCAGAGGAGCTATGGGTAAAAGTGGTTATTTCCACTTATTTTTTTCTTTTTGAAAATGGCGAGCCCAATTGCTTTGATATTTTTTATGTAGACACCTTGGATGGACTTTTAAGCCGTTACCTTCAAGTGAACATTTTTGCTTAAAAATCCTATCTTTTGTATTCTTCTTTAAAAAGGCTAGCCCGATTGCCTCGATATTTTATATGTAGACACCTTGAGTGGGCCAAGTCAAATTTTGCTAAAAATGCTGTCAACATTGTATAAAGTGGAGGTATATCAGCCACTAGGCTGCTTGTCTATAATTTCTGTGTTAATTTTAAACGAAATTGACATAAGTTGTAGATCTTGATCAAAATTTTTGAACAAATCAGGAAAAAGAAATTTTGTGAAACATGCGACATTAGTTGACCTTGGTAATCAAAGTGTTTTAGGAAACGTGTACGAGGATGTGATTCAAAACATACCATGATCGAGTGATTCATTCCTAACAAATAATTGCTATCATTGAAAAAAATATCCCAAACACAAAATCCCATCAAAGATAAATATACAAAGCTCTTTATTGGTACACTAGAGCAGAATTTACAGTGACTAACATTTCATTAAATTTAAGCCAATTTTTTTTATTGAAAAATATCATTGATATATATTAATAAGATACGACAGGCTGCATAAATATTGAAGATAAGATAAAATAGAAGTATTACTAATATTACAATAAATTAATAAAATTCCAAGTGATTTAATCCCTTAATTACTATATCAACCATGCTGCTGAAAATTAAAGTTTACTTTTGAAGAATGTTAATAATTCATTTTGTTGAACTGTAAATTAGCATTTAAGAAACATAACTGAGCTAAGTGGCCCTAACCCCGTGGACATTTATATCAACTTCTGTCACTTTTCTCAAAATTAAACCATAGACCCTTTCTAAGGTCTATGATTAAACACGCAATTTTTTTTCAAAAATGTTGATAAATGTAGGCAAAGTACAATCACAGTAAATTTGGTCTTAAATTAATCAAGAAATTCTAGACAAATAAAAATTAAGGCATTCAAGGGTTAGAATGATGAAATAATGAAAATTTAGGGGTTTGTGTTGAAAAGTTAATTTCCACAGTGGCTGCAACATGTCTGCATTAAAACACAAATGTAAACTAGCCTCAATCACCAGTTAGATTCAATGCTTTGACAGCAGGCTACACTTACTTTTATCGTTATATGATGAATCTTGAGAAGAAAAAAAAACTTACTACAACCAAATAATTTTAGATGCAAGCAAAATCTCGCTTCAGAGTTGTACCCACTTTGACTAGGTCACATGCAATGTGCTGACCAGTGTGCTCTCTAACTGGACTTATTTTGTAGTCAAAATGAAATCAATGTGAGTCAGTAACATTGTATGCGACTCAAGGAACAAATATGTTATCATTTCCTTTGTATTT